GGGTCGCGAGGGACTTTACGCAAATTTACAGCCCGGCATGAGACCAAACCCTTCCTACGTTCTCGAATTGAATTAGCCGAAACTAGCTTCTTCCGGCGATTCCGCGCGACATTTTACTATCCGCGACGCGATCCCTGTACGACGAGCACTGGTCATCCTTAATTCCCTCAGGGTCCTGGATCGATTAGGTACTTGCTACTGAACCCCGTTCATTGCCCGTATGTCTATATGTATACCGTAAACCACCCCTTGGTACTGGACCCACCAGCCAGTAACAATACTCTCCGTATACTTTTCGCGAATTCGCATTAACCCGAGACAGAAAAATACTCCGTGAAGTCGGCTTGATGTAGAAATTATTATGAGGGTTAAGAGAGAAGGGGACGAAAATCTGGAATGGATTGCAAAGTGCTATTTTAGATATCGCGCATCATCCTCGGCTGTCCCGTATAATTAATGCGCCGAGAGTGGTGCTCATAATGTGGGATCGGTGAAATACAGTGAATGGATTGTGGGAGAAGGAGAGGCTCAGGGATGCAAGACACCGTGAAATTACCAGCAGAGTCTCTCATCCCCGGAGGGTGAGTAGGTAGTGGAACGGACTGGACTCTGTCCACTCCGCGCATACCAGGAACCGCCGGCCACTGGGTATTTGTCTTGTCTCGTTGTTTATGAGATTCAACATCGTTATTTGGCACCGCCGGGGAGTTCTCACGTTGTGTGCACGAACATCCAGCTTTTGCCGAGAAAAGGACGAGACTCGCCCTGCCACCCTTACACCCCATCTCGTGTTTTACACTGTGCACATATATATAGGTATATCCTTATGCCATATACCCTGGGGCTACTTTGGTCCTCCTTTACAAACCTAATCCAAACGCTTGAAACGCATCCCAAGGAATGGCTACTACTGAGACACCCTGTCGATACAAGGAATATTTTAATTATATAAATTAACGCGTGGTACCGTACGCAATAAATCGTAACGTTGATTGGCTAAATATCTCGTGGATATCCTAGTGGGAGTGCGAGTCGATGTGTTTCAATGAAAATATTCTCGAGGAACGAACGAAAAAAAAATTATTCAATAGGACATTGTCGCGCGTGAAGGAACGAAGAATTTCTCATGGTCGACGTATCGTAGTCACTGGAGGATTCTTATAATTGTAGCGCGCGTGCGAGACGACGTAATTGACGTGCTCCGCTGCAACGGCACCTCCAGCCGTATCAAGGGAGGCGACATTTAATCACCGATTTCCAAATGGATTCTCGGAATATCGTTGAGAAACAAACTGAAATTAAATTAAGGCGCGGGCAGGTAACGCACGACATCCGTATACCAGATGGAATGCAACTTAATTGTCATATGTGTTAGCACGTTACGCTCGATTATGGTCAGTGGCCTTTCACTATGTGGAAATTACAGGATTTTTGCCGCAAAGACGTGATTTCACGTATTTCTGTGAAACCTGTGATCGACGACCGAAAAAAAAAATCGCGCAAAGGTAAGAAACTTCTAATCGGACGATTCTCGAATCGGTATGAACAATGAAAAGGAAAAAAAAAAAGATTTTAACGCGTGCGAGGAAAAAAGATGGAAGAAAAAAATGAATAGCGGTACTAGTAGCAGCGATGTCACGGTGAGAGGTTATCTAGACGAGTTGCCAGACCGGAAGTCCTGGCTCGTTGGTTACCGCGTATAATGCCCAACGTCAATATAAGCTGTCGGATGCTTTTTCCTAAATTGACAGATTTTCAATTTAATCAAGTTTCAATCTAATGGAAAAATACCCGATCTATTGATGTATGAATACACACGTACCGCCCGAGCATTGATCACTCGCGCACGTAGGACGGCAGATTGAAATAATATTTTTATATCTAATCGTACAAAGGGACACCCGTGATTGCGTAAGCCATCCGCCGATCTCTCAGATTAATCTATCGATAAATATTTCATCAATCACGGAATTTCGCTGAGATAGTTAGACGCGGGGAGACACGGAAACGTTGAGGTAAAGGGATTAAACTAAAACCAAAAAAATTTGGTCGAAATTCAAAAATTGAAAAAAAAATCCAAAACGAAGGAAAAAAATGGAACAAACCAGATAACAATGAAAATAACGAAAAATTCACAGCTGAATTGATAACTCGTTCGCAAATCGAATATTACCTTTTTATCTGAGAAATCCGTCCGGTCCACGTCCCGTGGATTTTCTATTTCTCAGCTACTTGTCATCCGCAGCTTTTATCAGTCCGTCCACCGATCGATATAATTACGAAGCACGCAATGGAAAGTGTCCGAAGAGTAAGAGGAGGATCGTTAAGAAACACATGTATCCGGGCAGCCCCAAGTTGAAGGTAAGGTTAGGTCACGGGTTAAATCGAGAATTATAAAAAGAAGTCAATCCCATGGTGGAACCGTACGCCGGGCATTACCAACTTGCAAGAAATGTCATTACCTCGTGTGCAAACAAAAATTAAGCGCGCCGATAAAAGTAACCCGAGTCCTTAGGGTCGATCTTGCCAACCTCCATGTAACGACGGAGGTGCGACAAAAGCCGCCATTTACCTGCGTCTCTCCGTCTCCCTTTTTTTTTCAACCACGCACCTAGCTCTCCCTTTCTCTACGAAGACATACTTTCTCGCGGACCCTCCGCTGCCTACAGCCAACCAGCAGCCACCGAATCGCCCCGCGACGACGACAACGGCAATATAATCTTAATCATGAAACCCGATCGAAATGCAATTGACTGGCTGAAATGAGCTCCCGTAGTAATGAGATCCTGCGTTCACGGGATCAGTACTGTGTCCCTGTACCTATACCACACTATAGCGCGATACAGCGCGCTGTATCGCTGCATTACTGGGACACAATAAGCGCTCTGCACGATCGTTTGCCTTCAATCGATTCTTGACAGATACACTTATGTATATAGGAATGCAGAAGGCCTCGGACTGACTTCGCGTTACAAGCCATATACACGCATATACCTATGCATTAAAAATTAAATAAAATTATAAATTTCCCCACACAATTTTCACAACATCGCTCGGCCGTAATGAAGAATGATCTTAAGTATCGAACACTCCGGACTTCAATTAAAACGAATGACTAATGGGAATTCAAGGAATCATTAAGTGCACGCGCGCAAAGTCCAGCTAATTTATGGTCATTGAACGCACACACGTATCGCGGTAGAGGAAAAGTGGATGTTCTCGGAAAATCATCATTCATCGGAATTCACTAAGTTCCGGCATTACCGCGTGTAAATAATAATCGACTAATCATACAAGCGACCTGTTATACAATAAATTATCCCCGTACAATCCCAAACGTTAATAACCTAATAAACCGCGACGTATTGGAAAGACAAGAAAAAGCAGCCATCCCGTATCTCCTATATACAGATATACAAGAGTCTCGAAAGCCAAGTATTAGCAAGTGACTTGGACAGCCGGACGTAAATTACTTTCGTCCTTCTCCGCTAAAACTATAATGGCGCCACGTACGCAGAGACAGACAGCTAATAGAAGCACGTATGCGAAAAATGGGTGGTAAGTCCATGCGTGGACCGATACGTGGAACGACGAGATTCTGTGTTTGCCAAAAGGATAATAGCGTAATGGATGGACAAGGGACAAACGAGTCGAACGGATGGAGGAGGCCGATTTACAGGGGACTTCAGAGCCCCGTCTATGATCATCCATCTGGTAGCAGAGACGCGAAGTGCGTCACGAGTTCCGATCATTGAATCGCGATCGTCATTGCGGATCGTCGACTACGCCAAACGGTCATCGCCAGTCGCGCGCGTATCGCGACCGAGCGCAATTGCCCAGCGACGTCCAACGGGAACAATAATTTATTGCCGACGAAGGTCGTCGCGACGCTCGTCGCTTTGCAGCGAGACTAGATCTTTCTTAAACGTCAGTGCCATCACTGTAACTTATATATATATATATATTTGTCTACCTGCTTGACTCGCGTTTTAAAAAGTATTCAGATCACAGAAAAAGTATACCTCCCTTCCAGCCGGTCAGTCTGCCAGGACTTTAGTCCGATGTGCAAGCAACGTCCTTATCCGATATTCCACTTACGCTACGGTACTTTATATGCTGGGAGAAGAAGAGAAAAAAAAAAGGAAAGCGAAAACGGTAAGCGGCACGGCAAACAGGACGATTGAACGTTATACTTTGTCCAAAGGATTTCCACCAGTATTTCTCCTCCGGCCGTAGGAAAAATGACTGAAAGATCATTGATCCTGATCGTAGTCTTATCTTGTTTTCGACTGCCGTACGATCCGTCGTGAGCGTCCCTTGCGAGCCATGGCAGTCGAGTAATAGCGTCAAGTTAATTAGTGAGGATTTATTATCGGCGCTGGTGTCAGCGACCACAAGGATGTAACGTACCAGGAACAGTGTTTTGTCTGATCGAAGTCACGTCTCTCTGTGAAATTCAAAGTGTCATTACGCAATCATCGAGAACTAAATAAGTCGAACGTTGACCCCTGGTCATCTCGTTGTAAAGAACTCGGGCCGCGTCTTTCTGTATGTTAATCGTATACAGTTCGTCGTGGATATACTAAAGAGAGTACAAGACAATGAACAACGTCCGATTAAGGTCGAGACGTAGTTACGTATATACATTTGACAGGTCAATTAATTGTTGATTAGAAGAAAATTTTTTAAATCCTCACCCTAATCGAGATTACGAAAGGGCGCTTACGATTGGTATATCCACATGGATATACAATATACATATAGATACGTCGGAGTGGTCCATTGGCATCTGAATTTAATGATTCTTTGCGAATATCGCGTAAACCTATAATCGCAAAGATTTACCACGGTAGAATATCGTTGTCAATGATAAACATTTTTTTTCAGCAGCGTTATCCTAAATTGTATGAAAATTATTTAATCGTAAGCGACATAGTTTTTATTAATCATTAATCAATTCCTTATTATCAATTTAGAGCATAAACAGTTATCAGACTCACCTCGCTCTTCAGATTGAGTGGCACGTCGCAGGACGCGTCCCCGTCCTTTTCCATGTCGACCTGATGCACCAGCATGCTGTGACTGTGTCTAGGTGGAAGAGCCGTGGCCAACATATTGGGATGTCGCCTCTGTATCTTGGGATGCTGATAGAGATGCTGCCGATGCTGGTGACGCTGTCTCTTGTACGAGGACAGCTGTGTGCTCAGGGTGCGCAAATCGGCCGGTGGCGAAGCTGGTGCGGCCGTGCTGCTTTGTTCCTCCTCGGCCGAGCCCTCCGCCATGTCAGCCAAGCATCCCAGAGACACGTAGTCTGTTGACAGTATAATGTTTTCTTTTTACTTTCAAATATTGGTACACCTGCGAATAGCTAATGACAGACGAAGAGAAACGACGGGGCAAATAATTCATAGAAGCGAGAAAGGATGACGTCGCCCTGGGAATGCAGACACAGAAAAATTAGACGAAACCATCGTTAAGCTTTGAACTTCAAAAGCGAAGCTTTTCTCCTGCTCGCTGTAACGTTTGCGCTTCTGGGCGCTTTGGTACGGTACACGCACTATATAAAACTCTGGGCTGAACGCATCTCACATTTATCCCGGTAATTATTTTTATCTAAGCGCTCTGTTAGTTAGAATTCAAGGGCAATGAAATAACGCCGAGTCTACCGTCTGGATACTTGTGTTTTCTGTTTCTTTTTCTTCTTCTTCCATCTCTCTCTCTCTCTCTCCCTCTCTCTCTCTCTCTCTCTCTCTCTCTCACTTGCTTTTTACTCTGCTATACTTTGATATTCTCATTTTTCTCACTGACTCTCTTTATCCGCTCGCGACCGTTTTCCTTGTTGCTCCTATGCGCGCATGTACCCTTACCCCCTCTCCACGTTCTTCACGGCAGTCGCGATCTCCGGGCGTCATGTTCGAAACGCAACTAACAACATCTGCTTCTATTTTTGCGCTGGCCCGAGTCCAAAACTTTATTTTTTAAAGACTCTCTGTCTCTCTCGCTATATGACGAACGGCTGGATAGATCATTAAAAGAAACTCCGCGTGCCGCTGGAATTAAAAATTTTACCCATAGACATATATAGGCCTACTGAGTAATTCCAAAGTATCACAATTTTTTTAAAATTTCTCTGAATTTCATACAATACTTGCCCGAGGATACGTATAAGCCACATACGGCAATATACACATACCCAAGCCGTCTACAGGGTATAAACCAAGAAATGAAAGATTGCTGTAATTTCCATTTTATTAAAAAAAAAGTTTTCCCATCAAAATTAATAGGCGGTCTCTTGGTAAGTTAAAGCAAGAATCTGCGATTTCTCGAAAATAGAAGCATTTCGAAAACAAGTAATACGTATGTGTCAGACGATGGCAGGGCTACGATTATTTACGGATGTCTCCCAAATCATAATAGCAATTGGCAAAGCACACCACGTCCAGCCGGATATTTAATAATCGGTTAGTGATATCTTAACTTTTTTGTTATGAAGGAGAAAAAAGACAGAAGAAAAAAATAACACTTCTTCTAGCTATGATGACTCACACATCGTGTAGCTTCGGCACAGCCAGGTTTACACGAATGAACGTTACATGCGTACGTATATCCGTATGTTGGAAGCAAATTCTAAAGTCTCTCTAGCCGCGATGATTTATCCACTGACGAAATTAACATTCCGCCCGGTATATATTCTCGCCTTATTTCGACGGGTAAGAAGAGTCGGTGGGTTATTTTTAAATTTAGAAACTTCTTTCGACACCGAAGAAAGGATCGTCTTGCTTTTTTCGCGCTGGAGTCATTCCTAGTTTTATGTACACGCATCGCCATCGTACCACTTTTGAGCAGCCTGTGCCGTGTCCTCTCGAACTGCCATCGCCAACGTCATTACAAGTCATTAATTTACGTTAGCAATAGCCGTGGTCTTAATTGCGCGTCTAGAAGCCACTGGCTGTGGCCCCTCTCCCCAAATTACTAGACGCTGCTATAAGCATCGGGTGTCCGGCGAGAACGCGGCTCGCTTATTCCTGGCGATTATATCGACTTCCTTTTGGATAATTGTTGGTTGCGCAGAAGAATAGGCCGATTGTTATCCATAAATTTGACATTACGACAAAGGCATCCTTAGACGTCTGGATTTTATTTTTTCTATGCAATAATTCCCAATATCCCTACGTCGATGGGATACAATATATACCTTGAAAAATGTATCTTCCGTTTTCACAGACATGAAAAAATTTTTACACGATTTCGGATTACATGATTTTTGGAAAAAATTAAATTCACTCTGAAAATTTTTCGATCTGCACGATCTTACTCGGTTGAATGCCGATTGCTATACCGTCGAAATATTTTAACTCTAACGAGTGACCGATTCGCACAGAATACTACAGAGTCATGACTCGACAATCTAATTGATCATTGAACACATTGAATAGATGTGGACTAAGCGGGCAGCTTGCAATTGCACGGTGCAATTAATGCGAGAACCACTTGCGGCTTGTCCGCGGCCATTGAGGCGTTCGTAAACGAGCTGTCAGTACTGAACGGCGTTGGACAAACTCTCCCATGAATCCAGTAGGAATAATCCCGTAGCGTATTTCGATTAAATTAAAGAAAGATTCAGGCAAATCCCATCAGCCAAGTTTTCCCGTAGAAGGACGTAAAGCGTCAAATAAAAATTCATCCGATGCTCGGCCATTGGCCGGGAAGATAATTAAACAATTTTTTTTAATTACTCCTCACCACTCCTGATATTACCCCAGTCGCGCGCATCTCCATTTCACATTATCGTGGTTGGGTTATATCCAAGAATCAGGCCCTACCCCCACCCTCGCTCCGCGACGTGGTTCACCCTCGCGAGAAGGCAGCATGTAATTAAGGGGGTTGATTGATGTTAATTCAAAGGGTAATTAAGAATGTTGCGCATAAAAATCCGGTAATTTATGGTCATTGGGGATAATTATATGTTGACCAGCTTGTAATTGCAAGCGCTATGGGCTGCCATGGGCTGCTATATGGATAATATAACGATATATATAGGGATGGCGAGAGGGCCGTGGCGGAAGGTAAAGGGATGGTAAATAGGTGGAAAGAGTGAAGGGAGGAGGCCGGGTGCGGCACTCACACATGGATATTACATAGAACAACACCGTTCTCAGATCGCAGCTTATTACAGTATATAGAGGCTGGTATACGGATAAGGTATAGTTTAGAAGCGACGCCTCTGGCCAGCCCGTTTCTCGGCCGTAACATCCTTTTTTTTTCTTCCCCGTCTGCCCCAGGGCCCTAGATGCACGGGGTCCTCCCTGACATTCTGCAAGAAAGAAACACAGACAGTCCCCGTCTCTGCTCCAGCGGCATTCGCAGCACCCCGTGTGCCCTCGGGCTCGTTCTAGGTAGCTGCAATTTACGAAGCCAATCGCGGAGTGGCGCTTTAAACAATTTTAGGCCGGCCACTTCGCGGCCACCGCCGAACCGCCGGGAAAGCCCTATAAATAACCGTGCGCGAGCATAATCGCAGCCGTATGGCGCTCGGCGCAAAACGCACGTCGTTTCTTACACGCCATAGTTAATATAGACGTCTGATTTTAATGCCCTTACCAATATATCTATATACCTTCGTGCTCTCGCGTCATAGTAACGTATACCATATACAGCGCCAATTCAGGCACACGTATTGCGTCGAACACGAATCGAGATACTTTCGGTCTATTAAACCGTCAGGAGCGTAGTCGTGCATTCTTTCTAGTCCCCTTATCTATCGTTATTTCAGGCGCGTACCTTGTACGCATCAAATGCATGTAACTGCATCGAATACCATTAGAAGTATATACATATACCATGGTAACGTCAAACGGTAGATTATCAAAAGTCAGCTCGTATTCCGACGCACGTGGAATAACCGCAAATTCTTTATTAAGGGAACAATTATGCATCAAGTTTTTCTATTTCATTCTTTTCTCTCCTGACGAAAGGTCCATGGTACAGGAGTGCTGTACTCCAGATCCGGGACTTCCCTGCTACTCGAAACACTGCCAATAAACGATCCCAGCGGGACCAGTTGGCTAACCGCCCACCGCGACATTGTACTACGGGAGCGGTTCTTTCAGGACACGTAATCAATCGAGCGGTTTAAACGCACCATAATCGCTGCTTTGTCGTGGGCATTATACGTACGTTATGGAGAATAGGAGAAGGGAGCAAGAGCGAGGGAGAGGGAGAGTAAGACGGAGAGTGGTGGGGAGGGCCAAAGAGAAGGGACGGGGTACCAAGTGGAAGGAAGAAAAGTAAAAAGGAAGAAAAAGAGAGAGAAAAAGGAATGAGCTTGGAAACACGTATAGAAAATTTGTCTCTGCAGGCCACCGGGTACACGTGGTGCATCATGGGCGAGGGCCTAAGTATAGTACAGGTAATGGCCGTTTCATGCGATACCATTCTGTCAGAAATCCACGGGGCTTTGTTCCAAGTCACGAAACGTAAGGATTAAGTCGAGAGCTGCTTGCTGTAGTGCCGTTTCTATTATAACCAGTGTGTATATACGTGAGAGGTAGAAAGAGAGAGAAAATACGTGGAAAAAAAGAAGAAGGAGAATCAGTTGACACTAGTGTGTACGAGAGCGTGGGCGTAATTATAATTGGTGAACGTATGTATAGCGGGGGGGTTGTTAGTAAATCAAGGCTCAGAAAATCTTCATTAAATAGCAAATAGTCTCTCCAGGGATGCCAACTGCGATGCAAAACTAGTTTTCTCGCTGATAATTTTATTTTCCAATTTTAAATAGAATGCACGAGTAACAGACACAATGCACTGACTATGTATCCCTATGCGTTACTCATGTCCCAGGATTCTAACGATATGTTCCTGAATATTTTTCCATACGATCACGTGAAAGATAAAGAGAACTCCCTTCGACCTAATCCCGCCTCGTGGCTCTCGGGGGGTGTAAGGAAAAATATTTCAATTTCTTCGAAGCTCCTCCGCCAACTGTAATTAGATTGGACGCGAAGCGTGAAACCCGGCATGCGCCTGGCTCTGCTCTGACTAAATGAAGAAAGTTCGTGAAAGAGTAAAGTATGGGCGAGTGCATTAAACCCCGAATTACCACAAATAGAACTTAACCGCACATGCACCATTATAATGGCACCCCCTGCTGAGGATGTATTTACGTACTGTACCGACTAAACGGCCACGGGCGCTCACGCTGAGACATCGAAATCACGCCATCTGTCCAAAATAAGAAATGAATCATATGACGGGGGGTAATTCTTTTTTTTATACTAGATACGATAAACCTTAGTCTTCGAAATTATCGATAAACGCGTCTATACGTTCGCGCACGTATATCCCAGGAGAGTCGAAGACCCGAAGTGAATTTAATGTGCGATCAGCAGGGTATATGACGTCCGTAGAAAGAAGCAATAAACCAGATCGCAGTAAATAACAGGCAGAACGTTTGATTCTTGGAAATCGAAAAGTCAAGAATTATTAGCCAGTGTATGCCCTGTGATAAACCTACATCGTAACGACTGTACGTTATGCCGATGGAACGGGGCTTAATAGGAATTAAAAAAAAAAAAAATCAGGATTAGCCCTTATACGAATGGGTCAGGGTGTACTAAAAAAGATCCTTGATAATCTCATAGTATATGCGAGCTCCTTTAAAACGCAAATTAGGTCCATTAGATGCGTCGAGCGTACAAAAACACTCGAGTTGGTATTACGGTACCCCGGTGCGTATAACCCTTCCTGAATCCCCCATCGGTAGGCACGCACGTGCGTGCCAGACGCGTGCTTTTTTTATTTATAAATTATTAGAATTAATGATCCCGCACGCATCCTGAGCTCCCTTGCTCCTTTCGAGGTGTCACGAAGTTCACGTGCGTAGTTACCTAACCAAGCGAGACAAGAGGACGGCAAGTCGAGGGATGAATTCGTTAGAGACGTTCACGTGCGACGTTGCGTCTGACTGACGTCGAGAGTTACTTACGTGTCTGACTGGAAGGAATTTTATAAGAGAAAAAAAAAAGTAAAACCGATAAAATAGGAAAAAAAAGTATACTGACTCAAGAATCTCATTCGGTTAATGTACAAAAGTCAGTCTTGCCACAGTGTAGTTGATGTACATAGTTTTCAGAGTAAAACGGTGAGTTTACCTACTTTTCGTAAAAAAAAAAAAAAAAGAGAAAAGACTTAATACCGAGTGGGGATTCGATCCAGGGATATTTATTCAATCGGTTTAATCGCGACGAAAGGATTGCGCGAAATTTATTGTGCCAGGAAAAAGGGGTAGGTATAACGGGTGGGAGAGAGACGGTGAGTCGTGGTAAGCTATAGCGGAAACCGGCAGCGTGCGAAAGGGGTAAGTTGTCGAGGGAAATGTTATCAAGCGTCGAATCGGTGGTAGGGGTTGAATCGGGGTAAAAGGGAACTGAATGGAGAAACGAATGAGGGTTGACGAGCTTGCGCGGATGACACGGGGAAATGAGGAGGGGTGGAAAGGAGGGTGAATGAGGGTCGGAAGAGAGAAGACAGAGAGTGAGTGGTAGAGGGGGAGAGAGAGAAGGGGAGAAAGTAAAGGAGAAAGCTACAAAGGATTTGAGGAGGGTTAAAACATCGATTCGTTTCCTTGACCTCCGCAACAGCGACTTTAGCCATTCGGGGGTTGAAGTCGAGTGGGTCGTTTCCGTGGGATGGAATTAGCCTTATATATAAAATAACGTGTAAGGTCCATCCTTTTCTACCTTCGGCCCGAGCTCTGAGCCAGCTCCGGTACTCGTTTACTCTCGACTCTCTCAGTTAGCTTGCACGTGGCTCTCGGACTTTGATACGGTTGCGCGAATTCACGTAAAATTTCCCGCTTCCTGAATTCACTTTGCGAAAGATATTGATAAAGCGGCTGGCAGCGCGTGGGTAGTAGCCAGTTTTTCTTTTTATCCTTTGGACGCTGTTTACCATTTTCGCTACAATGAAAAGAAGGATAAAAAAAGGCAAGTGCAAAGCCAATTTGTACTGAATTATCGAATGCATCGAAAATTCATTCTACAAGTATGGATACTAATTTTCATCTACTTTGTATCTGTCAAAATAACGTAAAAACTATATATATATACATATATATATAGTTTTTACGTTATATATTATTATATATATATATATACCTTATCGTTGAAAGAGGAAATCATTAAGTATCCTCGATGTATAACCTACTTGTAGATTGATCTCTTCATGAAAAGCTTGTTCGGGTAACTCCGGTGCTTTCTTTTGTAACCCCTTTTCGAGGGTTCCTACCCCAACAATATCGTCGTGAAGTCCCGGCGTGTCGAGTACTTCCTTTGGAGTTTTCCGCCTCCGGCATTCCTGTATCCTACTCTACCTTTCTACACTTCTCTCTGTATCTCTCTCTCTCTCTCTCTCTCTCTCTCTCTCTCTCTCTCTCTCTCTCTTTCTTTCTTTCTCTCTCTCTCTGCCTCGTTCCCTTCCGCATGCCACGTAGTTATTCTCACTCTCCTGGGGTTGACTCACCCTACTCTCCATTCCTCTGGCATCCGTTTCTGGCTCCTCCAACCCTCCTGCCAACCCTCTTTCTACGAACACCGAACGACTCGACGCTCTCAGGGCGACAAGCAAAGAACTTCCTAACCCTCCTGGCTGGCTGGCACTGATTTTCCACCTACACCTCCAACCCCTATACCCAGCATCCCCTCCCACTTAGCCAGCACACGGAGTCGCGCTGCCAACACGTGCTCTTGTTTACACCCCGAATTATAGTCACATGGTACGTATTCCATATATACCATGCAGAATTTCATACAGATACATTATTATTATAAATAATTAAATTAACAGTAATTTAATCGCGATACGATCTACATACTCGTACGGTATATTAGCATAAAATTGAATTACGTAAGACGCGAATAAAGTTTATTGGACAAAAGAAAAAGAAGAAAATAAAAAAATTAATTCTGATAATGCCGTCACAATAATTTAATGCGTTATCACGGAGTTAGGCTTTTTAATGATCATTACTTACAGTCATAATCAATGATTGTGCAATTGTAAGAACAGCTGCCGATCGAATGGCGCATTTCTTATACCTACTGTATTTCACCGTCTCGAATCCTTTAATTAGCATTTCCAGGTCGCATTAAATACGAGCATATACGCGGGCGCGCATAATTATCGTGGTAATTATTAGAACGCAGCTAAGCAGCTCGAGGAAATTATCACCGGCTTTGGTATGAGTCTAGCGCACTCTGTTGCTCGCTCAACTATTCTCGCCCGGCCACATCTAAGTAACTTTCTTAATTACTGAGATTAACTTAATCGTGCCAACCTGTGCAATAATCATTCGTGCGACTTCTCATCAGCAGTATTTGCCGACTCGACTGGACAAAAATTAAAAATTAGTCAATTCCGCTATGAAAACAATTCAAAGTCGTGTAAAAAAATTTTTTTTTAATAAATCTTCAAAATATCCTACGTACACAAAAGGTGTTCTCCATGACTCCATACGTACTGTACTATACCTTACTACATATACTTGCCACTCTTCAAACTTTTTTTTTTTTTTTTTTAATTACCCCAATATTTCTACTATACGTCATTCACACATTTTCTTGCGTCTACGTGTCCTCCTTTGTCGTAAACGTAATTTATCCCGCCTTTCACAAAGTACTTTGTATTACAGAGTCCATTAGAGTAACCTCGAGTAGAGTCTACGGCCGCCCGAAAAAGAAATAAGTTCGAGCCGCACGCTTAAGCACATTTAGACGACCCACCTAATTACCGAGATTAGCTCGCTTATAATAAGCAGACGGTAATCATGGCTGACACTCACCTGAGGCGACCAGCGACTGATGTATGTGGGACGTCGTTCTGATGTGGGTTCAGCGAATAGCTATTATTTATCTCCCTCGTCGTAATTAAGCTGGATCGACGTGATTTCAGTTTCTTCGCTTCTTTTGTTCTTTCCTTTTTTTTTTTTTTTTTTTTTTTTTTTTCAAAATGTCACGAGGCACCGCAGAGACGTCTCCAGCGCTTGGGACTCCCGCGTAATTCGTTCCTCTCGATCGCTCGAGCAATATCGAATTTTCGATCAATTGTCAGCGACGATTATTTAATTATTTATTGACGTCTCTTGCACGACTTCTTCTTTTTTTCTCCGTTCACGTAACGAAGCTACACCTTTCTATCGGTATACCTCTATCACTCGACACAGTCATTAACACCGTGTACGAAGAACGTGACAGGCTTCACGATTCACCAAACATACGAAGATCTATCCCGTACGTAATAGACGTATCGTAGTCGTGAGTGAGTCGATCCACGCTTACATCGGCTTACTTAATTATCTCATATAATGACGGGTAATTGGGGACGATTAAGAGGCAAAGGTTTTAATTACGACTGATGAAAAAAAAATCGACCACCGCTTATATCGGTATACGCATACGTAATTCGCACGCTGCAACGTTCACGGATGTCTCACGCACGATTATTGTTGTCGTAGCGGTCAAGTTTATTGGGACAATTGTCCCAACGATTTCCTTCACGTTTCGCGCTCTTTCGTTGTCCGAGCGATAACTGCCATGGTTAATGCGGTTTTAATTATTCTATTTGTCGGCGGGAGTCCCGACCGCGCACCGCGCCACGAGCAGGCACAATCAGCCAGACGGTGGAGGTTATACAAAAACAAAATATCCACAGGGACAAGAAGTTGTTTCACGGTACGAAAGAGAGGAGATTGTTTTGTAGGAGCGAGAGTGACGGAGCGAGAAAAAAATAATGGATGTCAATAACGACAGAGCGAGACGCTAAATTTTAAGTAGAGGCTACAACGAGATCGAGATAGGAGTCTATGCTGAGTGGGTGGGTAAATAATGAGAGAGCGCGAGGATACGCGAGAGACTCTTGCTTGACTGTGTAATTTCAACTGAATGACACTGACGTGTCCGCAGTCACGTGTGCTCCGTAATTACGTACGTATACATACGTCCGAGTAATAATTAGGAGTAAATTAGAGTCGGACGTTTCCTTCCTTCGTTTTACACTACGGTTTTACCGAATGGTAACTTCCAGTCTCCTTTATTCACAGAACCGATCACCCTTGCCCGATGTTAACGCTAATCAATTTCAAACGCAGAGTTTTATTGCTCTATTTTACGGCCGATTAACTAATGCTCCACCTGTCTTGCACACCTGCATCAATATTAATATACATATAAATATATATATATATATATATATATATATATGCACTCACAGTCTCTTCAGTTCCAACAGTACAGTCAGTACACCTTTTTATCCGTTGGTTAACGTTCTGCGTTAGAACCACGTTTTCACGTATTATCACGACCCGGTTATACGGATCGAATTTTTCTGTAAACTTGTACACATTACAGATAGTCTTTTCACTGGGAGAGGAAGTTAAGTATCCGTTTATTATTATCACCGTTCTTTATCACAATGCTTGTTAAGGGATCACCTTTTGCTTGTCAGACTGTCTCAGTCTTCGACAGAGTTTTTCATAGGCTTGTACGATCATCGATCTCTTTTCACGATCACTTCACAAGATCACACTGGGTCCCGACACTTCTGTTTACAGAATGACACCTTGTTGTATAAACAGTAGGACGTTAAAAGTCACAGCCCGATTGATTTCAAAGACGAATCCATTGCTCGGTGTAGATTCGATGATCGATCCAATAACGTGTAATTGTCTTTCGGAGCGATAACTCCTGTTATCAGTCACGTCCCTAGGTTCTGAGGTCGCACGAGAGAAACGTGTCTTCCTCGAGGAGAGCCGACGTTCCCAATTACTTTGTTTCTTCAATTCTTAGTACTCCTTTTCCCTATGCTGGAATCACGTATCGTAGGATGCCCTCAGGATGATCCGGGATCCAAATGACTCGTGATCGGACAGCGTGGGTGTCACGTTGTCGCAAAGGGTTGCAGAAGGGACGCGAACACTCTGTCCGTACCTTGACGGCTCGCAGTCAGGCTGCGTTGTGGCTGAAGTTGCGCGGCGGGAAGGTTGTTCACCACCTCCAGCGATAATCGTGGCGCCCTAGTGGGGATTCCGAGGGCGGACTCGGAGGCGGTGCCAATGCGCGGAGGTTGGCCGCGAGTTAGTCGCGAGATCCCGCTATTATGATTGTTATGAGTGTCCGAGCTGCCTCCGCGGGTTGGGGGTGGAACGGGGGGGACCTCTGTAATATAGCCACCCTCACGAACGAACTCGTACCCCTGATGCAAATCAGCTACGGGGAGTGGTACGTGTATGCGTGCCAATGTATACGGGGGTTGCACATCCAACGGGAAAATTCCTCCGAAAAATACGCCTCCCTCTGATGGCTTTAGTACTATCTTCGATAAATATTCCAAACGTCGAGACACCCCCGGTATCCAATAATATTTTGCGAAAGAAATGTTTCGGGCTGGACATTCGTTTTTTTCTTTTATTTACTTCATTTCTCAGGCTATATTTAGAGTACGATTTTTAAGAAAGGGTTAAATTTTAAGGGGTAAATATTTTTGCGTGATAAAAAAATTTTATTCAAATTTCATAGGTTATTCGTGTTCAAATTTCATTTCCTAGCCTATTATATTCTACGTAAAAATACGGACCCCCAGATACAATTTTTAGGGTTATAGAATTTTGCGATAAAAAAATTTGAAATATAAAATATGTCCATCCGTATGTAAAATGTTAATTTTTTTATTGCCATCCAAGATGTTCTCGGTTCTTGAACCGGACCCCTTATACCCTACGCCACTGGCACTGTCCGCACCCTCAGTGTTTTAATGCTCCCCCTGAACTTCCCCGACATCGCCCCATTCCGTTCACTTCTATAACTCAACCCTTAGACTCACGTTCGTTCGTATCCCTGTGGCCGGTGGCGATAGCCAACTTGGTTTAAGCATCGGTCTGATTTGTAAAACACCCTCGCGCTGACACCCTTGCCTTCTGCGGCGGTCGTCACGCTAGCTGACAGTAAATTAATGTACTTATTTAGGCAGGCCCCACTACAATTAGCTGGGCTTCCTATCGATCGCGAACTTCTCACAGCCATGATTACGGGGTTTCTCGTATTCAATGTATTTTTTTTACACCATCCTTTATCATACCCTTACCAACATATACGCGTCATTCTCGGCAATCATCACAATACGTAACCATACATGAAAAACAATGAGCAGATAAATGTCGGGAAAAAAAAGTTGCGAGTAATAAACTCTCCGAAGATCCATATGCGAAAATAATGAATTAATTTTAATACAAGAATAATTTTGCAAAATATCCACGTGCAATACCGCATGCACCTTTCGGCTTAGGGAATTGTATATCTATACGGGTACCTAGGGTACACCTACATATATATTGCAACCTACGTGGGACAAAAGGGGATAGGTGCAACACAAACCAGCTGGTGGTTGAAGTTGTAAGAGTCGTTAGGATATGGGTCTCCACCCCCCACGCTTCCTCATCCAGTCTATGCAACTGTGACTCCCTCACTTGGTAAACCCACCAATTCCTCTAGCATCCTCTTTCTGCTCCTCTCATCCCGAGTGAACACAAGGGATGAGAAAAGGGGTTGCCCTCAGTCTTTCCGCCCTTACGACCGGATCGATTAAAACTACAAAGTGTTTCCTAAACTTCCACGTTTCAGTCCTTATTCGTGATCGCCACTATATTAACAGAAGTATCATACACGGTCAAACATACTGCAAGGATACTGGGTGACCGAGTAACTCCCTATTAATTACCCTAATTACCGGTTTATCAAAAATGAAAATTTTTTTTAATTTTTCCATCGAACCCTCACGTGCACCGGAATCAAAATGCAACGACTTCTCGTCAATGATAATTTAGACGTTTGTAAGATCCATAATGATTTTTCGTATTTCCGGGAGAAAAATTGATCAAAGTCGTGGGGACGCTTATCCACGCGAAATACTTTTAGATTTATGACGGATCGACCCGTACAAGGACGAAACGACACGGGAGATTATATCCTGAGCTCGACGTCGCTTCTGGGCTCTGCCCGCTTTAAGTTGCTGCTATGTGGATAATAACAGAGTCCACTAGAAGCCCAAGCGACTCTTTACGAGCATCTTCCCAGAAGTATAAACCCGGCACTCTCTTTCGTCTTTTCGTGAGTAGCCGCAGCATCTTCCATATATTTCCCAGTCTCGTTCGGCCATCTATCCCTCTCGCACTCGTTATACCTCAAGATTCGTAAGCCTCATCTCCCACAAGGTATCTCACTCGTTATTGTTACTCCTCTGGCCAAGAATCAGCCTCATCCAATGGGTCCAGTTTAGTTCTTTTTTTTATTAATTAATGACATGCTACTATGTTGCTATTCTACGTCATCGCGTGCTCTTCAAAATTTAAGGCTCCGATCGCACACGCCATTTCTCACCAAAGAATATGTCCATTACAAAGATTCTCGAAGAAAGAATACTACAAATCGAACTCAATATTTTCTCGAAAATTTCGCTTCAAACTTTCCTGTTTTCATGAAGCATTCAATATGTATCTCCCTGGAGATAGGCATACAGTGCATTGCCTATTGCCAATACGACCGCTCGTGGCATGTGTATCGCGGATGACGAAGTACCGGAAAATCAGGGAACGGCGCTGTGCACATTGGCCAAACATCGGCGACAGAAGTTACATGCGTTTGCGGCACGAAGGACGAACTGCTTTACACGTTCTTTCGTTAAATTACGACAGCGCGTATATTTCCAATTTTTTCTAACGGGTGTCAATAATTACCAAATCACATCTGTATCACATAATCATCACGAATTGCACAAAGTAAATGTTTTTTCCGTTTTTCTAACATTCAATAAAATTCCCATTATACCCTTGACTACATCATGCAACCCTAATGTACTCTTTTACACCTCAAAACAAAGTAACTGGTTATTTTTCAAATATGAAAATTACACGCACGTTTCTATTCCAGTTTCGCATCAGTTTTCGGTCAATATTTAGCCGCACATCCTGCCCGGTAGCTCCGATCATTAAACGTGCGTATATAGCCTCATGATATTGCAATCCGCGGCTATAATTTACGTCGTTTTATAGTTCAAACTGCAACCTGCGTAGGCAGCGGCGCTCAAGCCTTAGACCGTGAGCGCTATCCCATTCGAGTTGTACAGGGTGATCATAAAGTTTCCAACGATTTTAGCGACATCGTTACAGAGGTCATCTGTATGCATATACATATCTATCTATAGTTAACTATTTCTTGAGTGCCATTTCTTCTCTTTCATAACCTCATCAGTGGATTCCGACAGGATCCCAGCTTCCTCGATCATTGTAGCTAAGTAGTGAGACATGCTCTTTGAGAGCATCGTTTTGTAATTTATCTCGGGTATAGGCAATAACATTTAATCACCACCTATATAGTGACACCATTTAATACCCAGAACATAACCATAATCCAAAAATGGCTTTATGTTTTATCAAAAAGAGATTGAAATACACCGGTTGTACCTGAGAGACTCTACCCCGTAGACGCTACCAAGTTTCGTACTACGAGGCCAGAATTGAGATATTCTCTTTTATAGGGAATAATCTGAATGCGAAATAAAGGAATGATAGGTAGGTAGGTAGGCACCTACTATGAAGTTACCGCGAAGCAGTTCCGAGGAAAGTACTTACTTTAAACCCGGGATATCTTACTTGCCACTGAAATTATTCATTCGCTATATACATATATACAGTAGTATATATGTCATATATACAACATGCGTCTATATACATTTTGCCATTAACGCAATTATACGCACAATTCCATTCGTCCAAATCAACATCAACCTATGCACTTATCATTTTCCACGCCTTTTTACACACTGCCTAAAACTCACGCACTCCGTTAGAAGTGTAATCAGTTTTTACTCAGAAATTGTCTCATGAGCAAATAGCCGTACTTGTGCAATCATTCGCATTGATAAAATGGCAATATAATACAATTGTACGAATTGATGACGATAACAATAATACTAATGGTGAAATAAATATACACTCAATGATATTTATATCCATGTTTTGAGAACATCTGCCAAGGTGGTTAACCTGCGGAGGCCTATCAGGCAATGCACCTCACGTTCGCGAATGGCGCTGCATAACCTATACTTGGCTTTATGCGTTGCTGCACTACACCTCACTGTCTATATAGACTAAATGTCGTAATTTCGCTTTGAGTTCAGTTTTACCCGCGCGGCGGCGTATCGCACGTAGGCAAACGTCAGTGGATACCTTGGTATACCGATGTATATATATACTACGCTTAAAGTTGGAGCAAGAGAGCCTGACCTAATTTACATACGTATAAAGCGCATTCGATGTGTTTTAGGGGGTCGTAAATCGACGCAGCTACGCGAATCGTTAAACCCTTCCTTGCCGCAACACCCTGCGATGCGTGAGCGGGGGAGAGAATTTCTCTTCTGTATGTATGCGCGTATCGACGTCATTCTATATAGAAACGTTATACGGTATATATTAAATACTAATATCGCCTCCTGTATTTTCACGCGCACGCATTCAATCGGGTACACGCAAAACACCCTATAGTACCATCAGAGTACTAATAACCGTCTGGGTACTAACGCGACACGACTTCGTTCTTATACGTCATAACTATGTAAATAGACCAAGGATATTTACTTGGATATTCACAATTGACGTTAATACATACAACCGTGATTTACAGTGCCGCGGAGCATATGAGAATTATTAGATATTGATTTCAATCGAAAAGCATTACTGATAACAATGATAAAAAAAAACCCTAAGCAGCAATATTTACGTCAAAATAGAAAATATGAAAAAGGTGTATGCAAGGGTAAAAATTTTTATGGTTTTTGAATTTTTTTTTCAATTACTTGTATACCCGTCCATGAGGGATTGACGTACGCGATAACGAGTCTTCCTCGAGATCATAGATAAGAATAAGCTGAACGTGTAACGTGTGCATCTTCG